GGTACAATATGTTCAAGTAGTAGAAACTGTGCAAGACAGACTTTTGACCCAAAGTTTTGAACACAGTTTTCTTTTTGATGATTAAGACTGAGTGACTAGACAGAAAAGGAGTTAAAAAAATAAAAAATTATTAACAATGCGGCAACATAAAAACACTGAATGCTGTGCCAGAAACAACCACCTCATCACCTCTCACAATGAGACTGTGTAGGGTTTGGCTCTGTAAAGACACAACCTGTGTGTCATTTCCTGTGGGACAGCGAGGGACCACAGACGGTCCTTGTACTCTTACTCCTCCAACACACTCCCACGCTCTGGCAGGCAACACCAGAGGGTGGTGAAGCCTTGCACCTGGGATGCCCAAATGCCAGCTCTGAAGCTTTGGAACGAGGAACCTGCTTTGAACCCAAGTCCTGCTGTGACCAAAACTACAAGAGGGTTCTTCTTCCTCAAAGCTCACCTCTCAAGGCAATAAGATTGCCTGGCCCCCTGTGTTCACAGCAGAAGGCAGAGGGCAGAGCGAAGGCACAGCACCGTGGGACACCATCAGCCGGAAATGATTCTCTGTGTGCCAGCGCTGAGACAGCAACATGACAGAAGAGACTGTGATTTGCATGAGGCAAGATTAATGCAACAAATATCACCCAAAAATCAACTCACTATAAATCTGTGTAAAGACAAATTCCATGAGGCTTTTCAGCAATCCCCCAAGTAAAGTTGCATTTAAGCAGGCATTCATACGAGGGGTTACGGCCACATCAGATAGCCGTCAATCACCTTTTAGCATAAAAACCCTCCTGACCTCTGCTTCCCTTCTTCTGAGTGTGGAATAATGACAGCCTCCTGTGGAATTCCAAATGGGAGTCAGAAATGAGGTGGTTCAATCAGTGGGGAAAGGTCAAGTACATTCAGATTTGCTCTCCCTCGCCATCTCCATTCCTTCTCTCCCTGTTCCACTTCATGCCCCCCACCTCCAGGTTGCTGAAGCAATCAGGGTAAAGGTTGTTATTTCTGCTGCAGCTGCCAGTGACCACGCTTAAATATTCAAGTGAAAAATTCTACCTCTTTCTTTAAAGTTATTTCTTTCCCCCCCCCTCTACCCTCCCAGATAGAGCCATTGAAGTGCTGTGTTGCAATTTGGTATGAGCAGCTAATTCTACCGTCACTTCTCACACTGTCTCAGACGACAGTGGAGGAGAGGTGACTGGAGGTCATTACCTGAGCATATTACTTCTCGACATGGCGGAGCAGTTTAGAAAGGGAAGCGAATAAAAGCAAAGCAAACTAACGGCTCTGGCAGCTCAACCTGCAGAGGCACAGGGCTATTAGGAAAACTACAATTCCCTGGTGAACTTCTGTGTCATGTCCTAGGGCTGAGAGTGACAAGGCCAAGTTGTCTCTGTCGATCAAGCTGGAGGAGGGCTGAACCTGGCCTGACATGACATGAACCTGAGATATCAGGCTCTGTGGGAATTTTCATCTACACCTAGCTGATTGGCACTCTGGGCCTCCAGGCTGTTGTCACAGAAGGTTTTGGCTACAGGTGTGTGTATGCGTGCGTGCTTGTCTCCAGTACAAGACAGATTTAGAATCAAATACTCATCCGCACACCAGTTGATTGGAAAATGAAATTCCCTTGGGTAAGGAATTAATTTTCCGAGTTTGACCTCACTTTGAGTGAATTAATCAAATATATAGTTCATGATTTATTTAGAGAAAGAGGTGTTATTGTAAAAAAAAAAAAGTGTGCCAAATTACCAGGGTTCTGCTTGGCTTTGGAGACACAAGAAGCCTGAAGACTGACCCAATCACAGGACCAATATAGGAGCAGCAGTGTGGTTAACAGGGACAGTATCTACAATAAGTCTGGGTGAAATGTGCACACACAGTGTGACAGTTGCCTGCTTAGAAAGTGTCACCTTGGCACAAATGTTGAAGAATTAAACAAATGAAAACCTGCAGGAATTTTAAAAGACACTATGAAATATAACCAGGTAGAAAAGTCCCCATCAGCCAGTCAAGTGCAGAATTCTTGCCCTGTTATTCTTTAGCTGACATGTGGTGGAGTAATTGCTGTCTGGGCCAAGAAGAAGGCAGCATGGAGGTGGGGGTTGGTGGGGCCTCCTGTCCAGCCACCTCAGCGTTACTCATCACTGGACTGCTGCACCTCTCTTTCCCCTGCAGAAGCAAAGATTTAAGGTTCACCCCTTGCTTCCGGGACCTTCTGGCACACAGTGGAGGTTGATCGTCACGGGGGGAGATGGGTGAAAAGCGAGGAAGCTGCAGGATGTGGTTGGCCAGGGTCAGCAGCATCCATTCACCCGCTCTGTCCCTGCAGGGCCTTTCTCTCTCATCTGTCTGGATGGGTGCCCTCTCTCTGGGGCACAAAACTATGAGAAGTCCTGGCTTCGCTGCCGTCTCTGCCTTTCATGTCTCCATCTAGGGCAGCGGTACAGAGACGTGAAGGGGAGGATGAAGAGGAGGGGGGGGGAGCTGCAAATGTCACCCATAAGGGGGGATTTAATTAAAAATGACAGGGGCTGGTGCTGGAGAGTGCAGCCACATATGTGCGGAATTTGGGTGCAGTGAAAGCAAGTGCCTATGATTTATAATTCAAGTAATACTCCACACTCCTTTTAATTCTACAGCCAAGGAAAAAATATCAAAAGGCTGCCCCTATGAGGCTAATTCAATATGATATTTTTAAGAGCAGGCGGTCAATAGCTTTTCTGAAAAGCCAGCTTCTCTGTCTCCCTTTCTGCTTCTGTCTATTCTCTACTTGTCTGTCTCTCTCCATCGCACTCTCTGCTGCTCCCTGCTTTCTCTCCCCTGCACTCCCCCGTCTCCTCAGTACATCACCCCGCCCTCCGAAGCCCAGACACAGAGCGGGCTGTGATAATGGAAACATCCCACTCTCCGCCTCCCGTTTCTCCTGCTAAGCTCTGTGCGCTCGGGGGAAATTGATTGTCTGGCTAGCCGATCTGAGCGCTTCCAGCTGATGGTAGAGCCAGTTAAGTCCTTTTTTATTGAGGGTATGAGGGATTTTTAATGGGAGTCGCATCAATGAACTGTGCAGCCACTCAGCATCTGCATGCAGAGTATTTATTTATTTTATTCTTTTTTAAATCCTTCTCACACTCATACCAATTGTTCTGCCACCTGAGCGTTCACCCACTCATCTAAAATGACTGTGTAAAAGACTGCAGAACCAAATCGTCTATTTGAAGGCTGTGTTCTTCACTTTGGCCTCCTGTTGAACAGATAGGTCACCTTACCTACAATCACCGTCCATTTTGGCAAAAAACTGGGCCACAACTAATCAGTCATGACCGGCTCAGCATGGTGACCTGAGTTTTGCCCATGTCTGTAGCCAGACCCAATGTCTGCTTTACTGAATCCCTTCTGGGCCTGGACGAACAATCACCTTATTGAGGCCAAGTGCAGCACAGTGGTGGAAATCCAACACCAACCCCCCTCCTCCCACATCCAAGGACAGAAAAGGGAAGCTATTATGTCCAAACATCCTCATTATGAACTGCAACTCAGTTGTCGTGGTAGCACTTCAATCAAAGGGTTTAACAGGTGGAGGAGTAGAGCGGTGGTGGAGTAGAGAGGGTCAGTAAGAAGGAGGGCAAAGGGAAGACTGGAAATTGTTCTTTTTCTCTATTGATTTGAGTCCTAACTCCCACTGGCTGTTCCTCAATAAAGGACCTTGAGAGGAAGTGGGCTAATCCTGTGAAATTGGAAGTGGGGAATCGATTAAGAGGACTACGGAGGATTTCCTCCATTTCTCTCTCTTTCCCCTCCATCTTCGCCTTTACTAATTTTATTTTGAATAACCCCCTCTTCATCCCCATTTCACTTTACCTCTCTCTAAAACCTCATTAGCAAATGTGGTTGAACCCCGCTCAGATAAATTGCTATGACGTGAAAATGCACACGGAGCTTTGATTATCTCATGCCTCCTTCCTCTCTTGCATGCACAATGCTTCATGTGGAGGATTTACACTGAAGAAAACAAATCCAGATCGGAGGACGAACACAGTCACCTTGTTGTTGATGGCCTCTGTAAAGAGCAACCGGAGTGTGATTTTAAGATGAGAAGTGGCTAATTGGCCAGTAGGAAGCTGAGAATGAACAATTCATTTGATCAACATTAAGGACCACTTTTTTACTGAGCTGTTAACAGGTCTGATACAATGTTCCTCTGATGGATGGGGAAGCAGAGACCCTGGTTTTCCCACTACACCTCTGTAAGCTTTGGTTAAAACTGCGAGGCTCCCTTTGCATCAGCATGACTTTCAATCAGCTTGCAGAGTTTTATGGGCCTGACATGTAAACAAAAGCCATTACACACCTGAGTTTTAAAAGATGGAACAATATTTTTCTTGTTAAAATGGTGCATTTTCAAAGCTCCAAAAAAGTTAGTGAGAAATCCACCTTCCTGGTGGCTGCAGTTCTCTTTAATCCCAGACTGGTTAGAGCTAAGTTCTGCAAGGTCTGTGACAGTTTACAGCCCCGTCTCTTTCCTGTCCTTTTACCCAGTTTTGTGAGCGGACAGAGGATGGTGTTCAGGGAACAAATACAGCAGCTGCCACATTTTACATGCGACCGGCACGGCCAGGGCCAGACACTGTAAATGTTTACAGACCCTCAGGGTCACCGGGGCCAGCGAGGCACGTTAAACAGTGTCTGTTCAGCTTTGCTTTCACGACTGCACAATCAGCACAGTTAAACAGTCTCCCTCACAATGAGTAGCCAAACAACGCAGCAATCCAAGGTCTAAGTGCAGCCCGAATAAAACGTCAGAATTCCACCGAGCGGTGAGGGAGGAACATGTGGCAACAATAGCAGCTGGAATTTGTATTTTTCTTTACTTCACATTCAGGCTTAACCACCCATTTCTATCATTCACCACAAACAAAAGATTAAATACAAATTACAAACACAACCCCTCTCTCATAGATTGCGTTTTTCAAGCTGAAAGGTAAGTAACTTACATTTCCGCCCAAGGACTTGTGGTGGCTCCAAGGTCTTGCTAGCACACATAGGGTGCTGGGGTGGAGGGTTCTGCCTCCTCTGCAGACAAGCCAACATGGCGAGGTGGGCACAGTACTACAGCCGGGGGAGTTCTGCGGCCAACCTGTATTTAAAAGTAACAAAATAAAAAGAAGAAGGAAAGTCAGTGATGCTGGCAGGTATGAGGTCAAAGCTTCATGGCTGTGTTAGGTGGGCAGTCTGGGGCTGGCTGTGGGCTACAGCCAGGGATTTAATTGGGAAAGTGTGCGTACAGCTGCCTGCCTCTCAGCTCTGTGTGCTGAATGATAAACACACACCTGCACCGGGGCAGCTCTGTTGACACGGGTGCAGAGCACAGTCCAGATCAGTCACTCTGCAGCTTCAAACAGCACATTCACACAGCCATTCAACCGCATCTCCTGTCTGTGAAGCCATCCTCAAAACAAACCCACAGAATCACACACAACATAGCAACACTGGGGCACACTGAGGCCCATTCTTTTCAGGGCAGTGTGTATGTGGTGATTGATGGCATTATCTATGGACGGGAAAAAAAATTGCACTGAGAAAACAGCAGTCTGTCTGCTGCAACTTAACATGCAACAGCTCTGGGGGACTGTCAGGAAAGGCCTGGGGGCCTTGAGCAGTGTCTGGATGTGTGTGTAGCTGAACTGTATAGTTGCAAAGTGGTGTTTGTGTGTGCGTATGTGTGTGTGAGCCAATGTGATGGGCTGGGAGGGGGAGACTGCCAACCGTACATCAGGGCTAGTGACGGCACTAATCAATCTCCCTTTAGGCCATAAATCTCTAGCTCCACCCCCACCCCCCCACATTCCTCCTCCTCGCCACCTTCACTCAGGAACAGGAAGGCAGCAGATACCGGTTACTCTTCAAAAAGCTTGTCACAGTCCCAGTGGAAACAGTTGGATATAAATATGAATGCATATAAAAGAAAAACCCTCACTAAGAACCCTCAACAATCACAAAGCAGAGGGTGTATCATTCGTCAGCAACACAGCGGTGTCACATCACACAATGATGACTGATTGCATCGTCTTCCACTCGGATTTTGTGACAGATGAGAGCAGCTGAAGCAACAATTTAGGCACAGAAAGTGTTTTGTTTTTATACAATATGTATCGGGATTTACTCCTCCGTTGTTTACTCTGAACATGCACTGCATATTTTTACTGTACTGAACGATGCAGATGCTCGGACAACCGTCTGCGAAAGAAAAACCAAAAGGTTAGCGGCCTTATTCTTGGCTCTGTCTGCGTATGACTCTTTTTCAAAACGTATCAATACCAACAACTTCTGTTTCCATCCGAGTCGGTCTCCTCCTGCCGTAAAACAAAGAGCGAAGGCAAATATTTCATCCGTGCTTTCACTGCCAGCATACGTGGCAGGAGATTGAAAAATGATTTCTCATACACTTGTCACAGGCTAGTCCTCTGTTATTTATGTTCTCAGTGAATCACTAAATGAACATTTCGCCACCTGCCATCAGTCCATTACTTAGTTTCATAGATTATTATTTTATCATGAAAGAAAACAATTGCTATGATTACAGGATGAATTAATGGCGATGTATGAAGCTTCAGCTCCCGTTCTGGGTCATGTAAAGATATAAACATCTGAAAATCATCTGCATGTTTCACTAATTGAAGCATTCAATCAAAACTGCCTTTACAAAGGCACTATCTGGCCAAGGTGGAAAATTATTTTTTCAAATATACGACAACATGGTGTTACTTAAAGCACAAAAAGTAAACATGAAAACATGCACGTTGGATGAAAAGCTCACTGAATAAACCTGATTTATCTTGTATTTTGAGAAGATGCAACATGGTCCGACAGTAAAACAAAACCAATGAGTCATGTCAGAAATAAATTTATATGCACAACTTGACATAAACGTACAAAAATGGAGTCAGTGACATTTTTCTATATCCTTTCTAGCTAAATGGACTTAGTCTATTTTTTTTTTTTAATTTTGCTTCCTGCAAAAATGCTACCTTTTAAAAGAAAATTATGACAGTGGATTTTTACAACTATATAGCTGGTAATTGATGGATTGACAAATGTAGAAAGGAAAAATAACAGACAAACACATCTTCCTTCCCTATAATTATAGCTAAAAGACTTTTCTGGGTTGAATAGTTAATGATCAGAAGCAGGTGCTGCAGAAATGCATCAGTCCTGCAAATAATTCAGCCTTTCCCACATAAAAAGCTTCTTTTTTTTCATGAAGCGATTTCTTCAAGACATTTCATTTGACCTCAAACCTTGAGGCTTGTACAATGCACTTAACACTTAAAGTCACATGAGTGTTTTTAAAGCCTGTCAGCAGCACAAAACAACACTTTTAGCACAAATCGGACAGTGAGAAAAGCACTAAAAATGCATCTCCCTGATAAATATAAGTCAATTAAATCTCCACAGTCCACAGTTGAGCCTTTCTCTTTCACACACACATGCTAACACACAAGCTCCCATGATGCAGATGGAAGAGAGGGACCACTCTCTGTCTCGCCAGGTGCTCAGGATAAAAAAGAGAGGAGAAAAAAGGGGGGGTCGCTCAAAGTGCCATTTCCTCTCGCACGCAGGCAGGCCTGGCCCAAACACACTGGTACTTTGAGCTCATTACTGACTATTCACATAATCCTTTCTCTGTGTTCTCTCTCTCTGAGGATACTAATTTCACAACGAGCCCATCCTCACAGTCCATTTGTCCAAGGATAGTGGTTGAGAGAGAAAGCAGGCGCGCGGTGCAGATTGAGACTAAAAGCTAGTCTTAACGGGGGGATACCGCTACAGTATTCCTCTCTGTGAAATGAAAGACAATCGTGTAACTACCCTCTATTTTTCTCCATTTGCTGCACACCAAATGTATTCCAAGGCATTATACTTCACTAAAGGAGACCAGCTTTTTTTCAATTCAATTTCAGGAACCAATTTACTCCTATTATTGCCTTTAAGAGCGAGGCAAAAGGAGCAAGTCTCGGCTTGTTTGTCATGTCCTTCTTCCCCCTCATCTCCTCCTATTAGGTTATTGTGCTACTTAGCAGATGTCTATCAGTGGCAGGAAATTATCTCTGAAACCAAACTCCTGTGACCCATCACCCAGGTGCCCTGAAAACAGCCCGTCTTGTCGAGGTCAATCTCTGTGAAGGTGCTGGGCCATATGTGTGTGTGTGTGTGAGCACATCCACTGCACTGCTCAAAAACACCACCTGCACTTCACTCACACATCAAATCCACCAGGTTTCCTATTACACCAGACCAAGGATATCTAAAAGCCAGGATGTCTATCGGCTCTTTCCAGTTCTGCTGCAGGGTTTGCAGTGGGGGCGGAAGATCAGTCCCACGAGATGAGCGAATAAGCCGGAATCAAGAGGCGGTGGGCTTGGCAAAGGGCTATTTCTTAGTTAAAAGGTTCTTAAACTGCAGAGGAGATCAGAGGAGATGGCTCTCCGCGCCCAAAGCTGTCTACTCAGATAAGCATCCTGCCAAGCGCGGGGTGTAACAGGGTGGTCATGGGTGAATAAATGGTGTGTGTGTGTGTTAAGCCACACGTTTCAGGGGAAAGACAGGCGATGGCAGCTGATACTTAGCGATTGCTATTAAACCTTAAAGCTTTTTTGGTACCAACTGAAATCTTCCATTAGTGTAAAAATAGCAAAGAAACAAAACGCAGCAGGGAAAGTTTGGTCAGTTATGGTTTGCTAGTTTATCACTTATTGTTAGTCCAAACTAAAGGCGTTTTGGATCTGTAGTTTGAAATGGATAACAGCAACACATCAGCTGCAAGTGATAAGCTAACTTAAAAATTTCAACATGAATACTAGGCTTTCTGGTTTAAACACCTAGTTTTTTACACAAATATACTAGTTAGAGACAATCTGATTCAAAAATCAGTAGGCTAATGATTTATTCAATCATTCATTATGTTAGGGATAGCTTAAAGTATGAGTGCACCTACACGCTGCTTTTTCTCCCCAACAAAATAAATGTGCTTATACAGACATTTTAAACATATTGCATCTTCTAATAAAACCAATGACTTTTCTTATTCCCAGAAGCAGTGTGGCTACGCTCATGGTACTGCTGCTATATATTCCAATTATTGCTCACAGGAACCTTGTAGGCTACTATAACAACAAGGGAAGTCATTGGATTATATCATAGATTGTGGAAGTCACAAGCTTGGTAAAATAAAATAAAAAAACTATTTTTGGTTTGACCACAAGAGAGGGGCAATAGCTGCTTAGCACACATTAAAATAAATCTAACTTGTATGTTTTGACTGATTCTGAAGTGATTGTGTGCAACGCTGGCTTTAAATGTGTTTGTGCTGTTTGAACTGCTGAGGCTTCAGGAGAGATTCTGGAGGATGTAAGGTGTTTTTAATCCATAAAGAAACAAGATTTTCAGAAGTGTAATTGTGGAACTGTGCAAACAGTCTTGATTCACCCTTTCCCCCTATACACTTTAGCCAAATTACTATTTTTTGTGTCTTCATGCCAAGAAGTGGGGTTATGCAATTCTTTTTGTGATTTGGGGAACAGTAAAAAGTTTATTTGACCCTTCAAACAGATTTTTCAGGGACACACTTCAAGCAAAAGGTTATGAGCAGCATAAAACCTCCCAAATGTTCATTTTAACAACCACTGTAATGTTTTGTTCGACATCTTGATATATAATCTTCATTGACAAGCTTTAAAAAATTATATTTCTCTGTCATTTACTGCCAGTAAAAACATTGCTATGTCAAATTTGGCATATTCCAAAGTGTTATATTTGACATAACTTGTATTTGTTGATAATCTTCCCCAATAAAATAACATTGTATAGCAAAGTCTGTTGCACAGTAAGCTTGATAACTTCTTACACAACATATGTGAGAACATTTCCACTCCATTTGATTAGCTAAACAACAATAATTTATGATCTATCGGTTTCTTTGAGAGGGTGGAACCTTTTTTACTGCCATTTGTGACTTTAAATTAAGAGCCAAGGAGTAGGAGTAAGGGTTAGACATGGCTATACTTTAAAAAAATCATTCATTATCAGTGTTCTTATGTCCACAT